AAGCCTTGGTGAGTAATAAAGCCAGTGAGCTGAATGTTCACTCTTTCCAGAATTCAATAACAAGGATACACCTCTCATTCTATAAAGTGGATGAGCTGAGCTCACCTGATGAGCGGGGAAGGGTGGCCCATCTATCATACTTGTTTTCATGGAAGATGACTAAGTGTAGTCATTACCACACACCAGAGTGAGAAGCTGGGAATAAACCAGGTTTATTCACTAATGTGACCCAGAAATCTTGGATTCTGTTTCAGGATTGGTTTTTGTCTGTGGAATCCAGAAATCATTTCAACCTCTCAGTGCTTCAGTTTTCTTCTGAGAGAAAGTGTGGCAAAAACGTATCCACTTTGTAATGGAGTTGAGATTTCATGCGACAGTTATTTCTCTTCTCTACCAACCCAGTATCTCTTGTGTTAGCTCGAGGGTCTTCTAGGAACCATTGATCAGAACCTTACACACAGTAGCAGGGGCATTTTCTTTCATTTCAGTGACTGGGGTCACTGAAACTGGGGCTTGGCCAGTGTTATATTTTCTTTCTCTCCCCAGTAAAACGGCAGGCAGTCCTTGTGACAGTTATTTCTATTCTATATAGCACCTGATCTTTAGGTGCTATATAAAATCAGAAATTATGTATCTTTCATCCTTGGAAAACTACAATGGAATCTCCGTGCAAGTTATTTCTCTTCTATAATGAGTTTGTTGCCTAGGCTAGGAGAGCAAAATTGATTCCTTATTCTTTGAAAAACACCAAAAAGGTAGTTCTGTGAATGTACACGTGCACTATCACAGATAAACCCCCCATGGTCACAGGGAAAGTCAGGGCAGAGAAAGGAGGCTCACTCAGCACTCACAGTAACAACAGTTAACAGTTACATCAGCACTTAGAGTAGAATTGCTTAAAACCTAGGTTTAAGTTTCCTACAAAGTAATCAAGGTGTTATTGGAACCTCTGATCTTTAGGTGCTATACAGATGCATTTTTAATCAAGTCCTCTTTTAAAAAGCCATGAAAAACCAATCGTAAACCAGATCACCAAGAAGACAGCACCACAATCTCTGACTTCCCCAAGTGGGTAACACAATGACCAGGATCTCCAGGGCTCGAGTTGCTGCTGCTGGCAGTTTCTGACGGAGCCAGGAAGCAAATGGAGGGTTGGGAGGTCATCCCAATGGAGGGAGGTGATTTCTCCTCAAAAGTCTCAAGAATTCTGCACACAATTTTTTTGTTTTGATCTGCAAAATTTTATTAAGCAATAGCTGGACAACTCTTACAACTTCAAATCATCAAGAAAAAAATAAGGAGATTAATCCATTTCAATAATAAAGACAGAAAATAACTTGGACAAACCACATCGTTTTGAATGCAAACCATTAATGCCTTCTAGAATATCTCCTGCACAATCTAATACACAAAGTACATAAGAAGAGAGGCAAAGAAGGATGAGTTCATTAAAACGCATCTGGGAATCGCAACAGATCTTGCTTAGAAAGTAAAACAAAGCAGGATGCTGAATTAAGAAACCAACAAACCAACACTGGAGGAACTGAGGTGCACAAGCAGTGCACGCCACTGCCGAGGTCTGGACATGAACATGCTGGTGGTCTAGTTTGGTCTGGGACCTATGCACCTGCATCGCGCACTTACGGTTAAAAAAAAAAAAGGAAAAGAAAATGCCAGTAGTAATAAACTCAGAAATTATGTCCAAATTTACAGTACCAAAATAATGTATTTATAAACAAATGCAAAAACAATACCCCTTTGGTAGATAATACAGTGCCTTTTCAGTCAAACGCATAACCCATGCTTTTCTACAACACGAAAAGATTTTTATCTACAATAAACAACAAGATCTTAGAACCCCACCCCTCCCCTTAAAAAGAACTGTAAACAGAAGATATAGGTACAAGTAAAGTTACACAAAAATTGCACAAAGCCAAAGAAAATGGAAAGAAAGTAAGCCACAACCCATCAGAGTTTTATCAGCCAGAGGTAAGGAATCACACAAATGCTGAAGAGTTCTGAGTTGTGTGCTGTTACAGAAATCCCAGGAACTCAAACGACATTTTGGACACATTTTTGTCTCCACTAACTTTGCTTAAAACCATTGACTTGGCCAAGTGACACAGGCCCACAGCGACACCATGGACTCCTTCTCCACAGTTGTGGGGCAAAACTTTCCTTTTCAAGACACCTTTAGAATTCGAAGACCGTGTAACACAGAAGTGCACACTCAGGAATTTGAGGTGGCCTAGGTATATATATTCCTGTGGTTTTGGGGACAAGCAGTGATTTATTTCAGGGCTATTCTCACAGACGTCCAGCTGAGCAGGGCACACCCGTGGAGACTCCTATCTTACCAGAATACACAGAAGAAAAATCAGTACTTCTGTGTATTCTATGAGGACAAAGATTTAGAGGTGCACTTTCTAAATCCAAATCATTTAGAGGTGCACTTTCTAAAGATATTACTTTAAATGCACTGATTTATATTCAGTATATAGCTCATTAACACAGGAAAAGAAATATTTCTCCACACAAAGGCAATGTTGTGAAATCTACTTCCCATGAAAAGTGGAATGACGAGGCTGCAGAGCGTGGCGCTCTTAGGCTGTTGGAGCTGTCAGGGAGTGCAGGCGGTTGTCCAGCTTGCCCCTTTCATTTCACAAATGGAGGACTAGCCAGCCACAGGGACTTGCCCAAGATCACCCTCCAACCTTGTGGCAGAGCAGGCTTGACCCTGGGGTTTCCTGACTTTTTGCTATGATTACAAAATGAACATAACACGTTATTCCAGGTCCTTGTCGGACACTTGACAAGGGAGCAATGAGTATGGATAAAAACATGAGCCTGCGAAATTCTTTGATTTATGCTGCCATTAGAGCTTTGAGATTCTCCTGCTTCTTTGGCCCCAGTTTTTCTCAGGATATACATTCAATAGGTATACTGTACACAAATCTGTGCCTTTGGTTTGATGAGGTTAGAGCTAAAACAAATTTAGAATTGGTTATATTTGTTAATATGCCACACTTCCCTCAAAAAGTCATAGATTCTTTATACAGTTAACCTTTTACTGGACTGTTTTTAAATTTAGGGATTCACTGAGGTATCTTGATATTCATAACTATTAATAGACATAACATTTTTAGAAATCTCTTGCATAAAGTATTGATTTTAGTAGTATTTAGTCAACAGACTGACTGAAGGAAAGCACAGTTGAAAATACGACCACCACCATTAACTGAAAAGTTACTCTATGAGCACCGCGCAGCCCGCAGCTTACGTGTGCCTTGGCACAGGAGGGCAGCCCGTCCTTCAGGCCCCTGGCTGGACGGAAGGTGAGCAGTGGCTGCTGGGTCACTCTGGTACAAACCCAAGTGCGCCAAACATCCAAGACAGGAGCCTGTGCCTCCAAATGGGGAAAACGCCTTTTGGGGAGCGAGCTAGGAATTCAGAAGCTTAGTTAATTATTTGCTGAAAAAATACATTTTTTTTTTCTCACATATATTTGTAGCCTTCATTTCAAGGATTTCCCTCTACATTTGCTCTTATTAAACAAGCTTTAAAATGGGCTTTTTTCAGGGTCCTTATATCTCAAAAACAATTAGAACACAAAAAGTGAAGCTTATGACCTAATAATTCCTTCCTCTGCTACTCTCATTCTACTAGGTCTCCCCTTTTCGTTTCAGATTAACCTTATTTTTAAATAAAAATAAAAGTTTCAAAAGAAGAGAGAATATTATTTGAGTGTTATTTCAAAGAAATAGTCTCCTTTGTAAGTAATAACACAAAATAAAAAAAAAAAAGATTTTTAAACAATAGAATTTTTTTTCCCAATTAGAAGTTACAAATTGTCCAGCAAAAAACCTATCAGCTGGGTGTGGTGGCTCATACCTGTAATCCCAGCATTTTGGTAGGGCGAGGTGGGCAGATCACCTGAGGTCAGGAGTTCGAGACCAGCCTGGCCAACATGGTGAAACCCCATCTCTACTAAAAATACAAAAAAAAAAAAAAAAATTAGCCAGGCGTGGTGGCAAGCACCTGTAATCCCAGCTGCTTGGGAGGCTGAGACAAGAGAATCGCTTGAACCTGGGAGTCGGAGGTGGTGGTGAGCAGAGATTGTGCCACTGCACACCAGCTTGGGTGACCGAGTGGGACTGCATCTCAGAAAAACAAATCAAAAACAAAAACAAAAAAAAACCTTCTATCATATCCTCTTTATTTCTTGCAGCAAAATATACCGCAACCAAGTAAGTTGTTACAAAGATACTGTTTTGCTAAATAAATAATTAAATGGGCACAACTCACCAAAACATAACAACAAAATAATTCCTAAGAACACTATGAAAAGCAAGATAAATAATTATCTCTTAGACAATAAAACAGGGGACTTGTATTTAAATTATCTGACAGGCTATAACCAATATTGCACAACTAATAATAAGCACTGAAACACCATACCAAGCTACAGAAACTCATATTAAAAGAATTAATTCTGATAACATTGCTAAATTTGTTCTGGAAGAATGAACCCACTAAAAATATCACGTCCAATACTTTTAAATATAGAAATGGGAAACTCTGGTATTAGATGGGAGTTGTTCTCTGCCGTATGAGAAGCCTCATCAGTATGTCTTCGGGGTTTGGAGAGAATCATGAATGATGTCATGTCATCTTGTTCTGGGAAAAAAATGGGCCAGTTTCTTTTCTCATTTTTAAACCACAACAGCGGATTAAAACACCTTTTAAATTTGAAAATACTTTTCTGTAGCATCTTCTACTTGTCTGTTTTCAGATAAAATGCAAATTTAGAACCCAATGCCAGCAGACAGTGCCTGTGCTCCTGCACAGCAGGCCCAGGGGAGGGGCCTGGTCCTAAACCACATCACAGTAAGAACCGAAAGGCAAAGCAACAAAAACAAGACTGGGTTCTGTCATCAGGGCTTGAACACCGCCCACGAGTTCTCACTGGGAGGAGGAAGTGGGAGGGGGTTTTATGGTAGTTTTTTTTTTTTTTTTTTTTTTTACAATTAACAAAGTGTGATCAACCAACTACCTAGGTACTACAATTTTAACAGTGTTTTCTCAGTGGCTTGGTTCCTTAGTAAACAGTCTGTACAGTTAATAAACAACTTTTTTTTGTGAGAGAAGATCATGAAAATTTTGTCAAAGGTTTTAATACCCTGGTGAATTCTTTTTTTTTTTTTTTTTTTTTTTTTTTTTT